AGAGTTTCCTTGGCTGGGCGCGATGGCTCACCCCTTTAATCCCAGCACTTTGGGAGGCTGAGGAGAAAAGATGGCTTGGGCCCAGGAGTTCAAGACCAGCCTGGACAAGATGGCAAAACTTCATTTTTACCAAAAAAATTGTTTTTTAAGAGTCGGGTGCAGTGGTACAGGCTTGTAGCTCCAGCTACTCAGGAAGCTGAGACATGAGAATCTCGAACCCAGGAGTTTGAGGTGGCAAGTTTCCTCTGAGTTCCTTGGTTAAATTTGTCAGAGGGAGAAAGGGACAGGATTACTCAAATTATCTGGATGTTTAACACCATTTGCTTTTCTACCTCTGGCCTTCTTAAGCTGTCTTTGGTGGTCTGAGGAGGAGGAGTGGATCTCACGGTGGCAGGGACAATCTGGTTGGTTGAAAGCCCCGACCATTTGCTCTTATCAACCATTCATGTCCTGGCATTTGCCCTGGGCTGGGGAAACTCCAGAAGGAAAATGTCTTGTTTTCCCCTCACTCCAATCAGATTTCACTATTTCCAAGCCTGAGCCCAGTGGCTCTCCATCAGCCTCATTCTCACAGTAGATAATGCCATATGCTCCAGCGATCTGAGCTTCCGGCAGCCACAGACGTAGCAAAAGGCTTCCATCACTTTCCCATTCAGTCTGTGGAAACGGCAAGTGTTCAATTCGTTCTTTTATTTTTTGAGACAAAGTCTTGCTCTGTCACCCCAGCTGGAGTCAAGAGCAATTCTGGCTCACTGTGACCTCCACCTCCCAGGCTCAAGCAATTCTCCTGTCTCGGCCTCCCAAGTAGCTGGGACTACAGGCGCCTGCCACCATGCCTGGCTAATTTTTGTATTTTTAGTAGAGATACAGTTTTACCATGCTGGCCAACTCCTGGCCTCAAGTGATCCACCCGCCTCGGCCTCCCAAAGTGCTGGGATTACAGATGTGAGCCACCGTGTCCGGCCTGTTCTTGGCTGATTCTAGCATGGGAGTGGGTGGGTGGCATGAGGATGGAAAATGGGAGGAGCTGGAACAGAAGCTAAGGGCAGCCTGGGAAGGGCCTCGCTCAGGAGTTTAAATTTCGTTCTCCAAGCAATAGGAAGTCATCTGCCCTGTTCAGCAGGGCAGAGACATCACCAGTGTGTACTTTAGAAAAGTAATTGCTGGCACTGAGGAAGATGGATTGAAAGGCAAGGCCCTGGCAGCAGGGCCTGAGCCAGGGCAGAGGAGAGGGGGCAGATCCCAGAGAAACTCAGAAGCAGAAAGCCCTGAGTTTACTGAGGGGGTTGAATGTAGGAGGGGAGGAAGGCAGCTTGAGTGAATGGGAGGTGCTCCTTATCCAGGACAGAGAATTCTGGCAAAGAAGGATGTGGACATGATGGGCTCCAGGCTCACCACCCTGCAGGTGCCGTGGCTGTGGGACAGCTTGTCCAGTGGCCATAACACATGCCAGGCAGGTGCTTGCGGGGGGAGTGGGGTGCTAGGATAGGTCATCAGCACACTCCACTAGGAGCAGAGGGGGTAAAGTTATTAACAAAAATCGGCCGGACATGGTGGCTTACACCTGTAATCCCAGCACTTTGGGAGGCCAAGGCAGGCGGAGGTCAGGAGTTCAAGACCAGTCTGGCCAACACAGTGAAACCCCGTTTCTGCTAAAAATATGAAAATTAGCTGGGTGTGGTGGCTCAAACCAGTAGTTCCAGCTACTGGGGAGGCTGAGGTGGAAGAATCGCTTGAACCTAGGAGGCGGAGGTTGCTGTGAGCAGATTGCGCCCCTGCACTCCAGGCTGGGTGACAGAATGAGACTCCATCTCAAAAAAAAAAAGTCTGCAAGTGGAGCCATGAGGAGCTGGTTCCTATACTCTGTTCCCTCTGTGAGAACATCTGGAGAGAGGGGTTGGTCAGAAAGTTAGAGGACTCAGCCTTGGAGAAGCCCCTGGGGCAGGCAGAGCTGAAGAAATGAGGGAGTGGGTAAAGGCTAGGAAGTCACGAGGGTGGGAATGATTTCAAGGGGGCATTAACAGCATCCAGGGCTGCAGTGGAGTGAAGGAGTGGGAGAGGGAGGAGGCCCATGGGTTGAAATAATGAGGAGCCTATGGGTGCCTCCCTGTGAAAATCATCTTCCCCTAGGATGACGGGCAAGAAAGCCAGATTGCAGGAAGTTTAGGAGTGAATGGGGCTTGAAGAAGCAGAGTGGGTCTGGTTGCTTCTTAAAGGAGGCCGACTGATGATGCAGAAGAGAGAAACAGAGCAATGACTTGAGGGCAGGGCAGGGTTGGGGCCAGTTCTTGAGGGCAGGTTTCCTTAGAAGGGGGCATCCTGCTTTGGGAGGCCGAGGTAGGCGGATCATGAGGTCAAGAGTTTGAGACCAGCCTGTTCAATATGGTGAAACCATGTTTCTACTAAAAAATACAAAAATTAGCTGGGCGTGGTGGAGCAGCTACTTGGGAGGCTGAGGCAGAAGAACTGCTTGAACCCGGGAGGCAGAGGTTATGGTGAGCAGAGAGATCCAGCCACTGCACGCCAGCCTGGGCGACAGAGCAAGACTCCGTCTCAAAAAAAAAAAAAGAAAAAAAAAAAAGAAAGAAAAAGGGAGCATCTTGAAGTTTTTCTAGTTTTGAAGCAGAGTGGAGGAGAAAGGAAGAACTAACAGAGTCTCCTGAAGCAGAGACTTCAGGAGGTTGGGCTACAGAGCAAAAGGGACATTTTATCTTTGGAAGAGCAGAGAAAATAGGGCCTGAACGAGGCAGAAGTGGAAGAGTGAGGCAGGGAGAAAAAGAGAAATGAACAGGATCTGATATCAGTAGAGTTCCAGGGAAGAGGCACAGGAGACTGAGGCTTCCAGCCTCTGAGCCAGAGGCAGATTCAGGAGAGTAGGAGGTGGCTTGGGTAGGGAAGAGCTCTGAGTCACCTTTAGCCTCCTTGAGGTGTCTGGGAGACCCGCAGGTGGCCCTCTGTAGGTGGCTGGTGTGAGGGGCTGGAGCCCTGGGAGCTCAGAGGCAGTGGTGGGAGTGGGTGGAGGTGTCTGGGGGTGAGGAGGTTGTGAGAGGCAGGGAAGGAGTCTAAGCAAAAGCTTCCAGAGGGACAGACCCAAAAGGAGGAATATGTTAGCAAAGCCCAAGAAAAGTGTGCTTCAAGGAAGAGTGTCTATTAGAACAACTTGTTTTATTAATGACTATAATAATAAATTTAAAAATTTTACTAGCCAGGCGTGGTGGTACATGCCTGTAATCACAGCTACTCAGGAGGCTTAGGCAGCGGAATTGCTTGAACCTGGGAGGCGGAGGTTGCAGTGAGCCAAGATTGCGGTACTGCACTCCAGCCTGGGTGATAGAGCAAGACTCCGTCTCAAAAGAAAAAAAAAATTTACGAGCAATCCACAGGCTAGTGCAAACATGGAAATCTCCAAGTTTGCAGTCGCATTTTCCTGGTCCTGAAATGCCACGGTGACAGGGATCAACTGCAGGGGGATCTTGCAAGTAAGCAGGAAAGTGACAGATGAACTGCACTGTGGGTAAGTATAAGGTAACACGCTTGATAACATAATCTAGACTATACTGGCCAGGAGGACAAATCCTGAGCTCTCAGTTACAACCTGGGAAAGGAGCCAGGGGTCATCCTAGAGGCATGGGTCAGTCCCTCCGGATTAAGAATCTTTAACCTGGGGCCTGAAGACCATCCTCTGGGATTTCAAGGACCCTGCCTCCCCCGGAAATTGAATGCACCAGGGAGTGAAGAAGTGTGGGGAGAGGGGAGCAGGAGAGAGGAGATCCTCAGAGGGGTCTGCGAACCCAGTCCTGGAGTTCCGCTTAACATGGTAACCTAATGTTAGGCCTCCCGGAGGAGGGTGTGGTTCTGAGGTTTCTCCCCCTCCCAGTTTCCCAACTTGCTGAAGAAACTTACCCTTGACATGCAAATGATGGAAACACATTGGTGTCTGGGGCACTTTGGTTTGCGGTTTTTACCATCAGCTGTCTCTGAAGCTGAGCGTGTCGATCTGTCTCAGCAAGGCTAGCAATTGCAAGCTCTCAGAGGAGCGGAGAGGGGGCTATTCCTGGGGATCTGGGTCCAGCTGGGCAAATGGGTCTATAAGGCAGACTTTTCCAGGAGGAGGGTGCAGACCCTTTGCAAGTTGCCTGGGGATAGAGATTGCCTGGGCCTTCACCCTCCTTAGATCCCCTAGGTAGCAGGGTGCTTCGTGGTCAACACCTGACCTAGGCTACCCCCTCCCAAACTGGAGTCGGAAACGAAAGCACGTGGAAAAAGAATAGCAAATGTCAATTTCCCATTTATTAAACAAGTTCTTCCGTGGAAAAATTTCCCAGGGCTCAGCAGCCCTTGAAGTGATCAGGGATGCTGGGGAGGTCGGGGGAGGAAGAAATGGGAGATGGTAGGTGGTGTCTGTCGGTGTGGACGAGTGATAGCTTTGATTTGTACCCCCTTCCCACCATCTCCTGTGGCCTCAGCGTTTGATTTGGTTTCCTTTCCCAAGCCCTAACTCCAGGGAGCTGCCCCTCCCCCACACCTGTGTCTCAAGCCCCAGCTGTGCGTCCTCACCCGAGGTTCCTGGAGCTGACCTGGAACCTGTCGGGCAGCCCTGCTCTTAGCTCCCCGCGGAGTCTCGGAGGTCTCAGGTCTCCTCTGCCCACCCTCTCCGCAGCGGGGGAGGAGAGGGGGGCAGGACGCCCCGCACCCCGCTCTGCCCGAGAGGCCGAGGCAGCCTCAACGCCTTCCTGACCGCAAGCCGGGGAGTCCCTGCGGCCGGGGCCGGAGGGACGCGGAGGGCATTTTCCCAGTCTTCACCAGGCGCTCCCCTCTCCGGCCCCCGCAACCGTGCAGGTTTCCGGACCTCCAGGCCCGCTTCCCTCCTCTCTGGAAAGGAGTCGGGCGTCAGGAGAGGGCCCGGGGACGCCGCAGCCTGGCCCCCGCCCCGCCCGCAGCCCCGCTCCTCCCCGCGAGGCCCCACTTGTGGCCCCGCCGGCAGCCGCGCAGGGACAGCTGCATTTCTCGCCGCCCGCCGCTAGGAAGCCGGCCTCGCCTCGCTTTCTCCGCCTCCCCGCGCCCCAGCCGCGCCGCCGCCGCCGAGCCCGGCCCCGCTGCCGCCGCCGCCGCGAATCGCAGCCCCTCCCCCGCCCGGCCCGCGGCCCGGCCCCTGCGGCCCGCGCGGAGCGGACGCGCGTGGCGCTGCCCGGTAAGACCCCTCGCTCCCGCCGCTCCCGCCCGGCCCCGGGCCCGGTCCTCGCCGGCGCCCCGCGCGCAATCCCGGCCCCGGCCCGCGGCCCCACCTTCTCGGGACCCATCGCCCAGGCGCCGCCGGGAGGGCCGGGCGGTCGCGAGTTTGAGTCCCGGGGCTGTCGCCGCGGCTCCCGGGAGCTCCGCGGGCGGCAGGTTCCCGCCCGCCCTTCCTTCCCGATCCCCCACCTCATCCCTGGCCCCGGGCGCGGGGGGCGTGCGGACATCTGGGGGCCGGGAGCGGGGCGCGAGATTAGACCGGTGGGTGCGGGCTGGTGCCGCGGGGAAGGGAGGCGAGGCCTCCCCGAGCCGGCGCCGCCCGTGTCCCTTCTCCCGCCGCTCCCCCTTTTGTGTGGGCGCCCCTCCCCGCGCTGCCGGGGCCTGGGGGCGCAGGCTGGGCGGCGACGGCAGGCGGGGGCGCGTGCTGGGAGCAGAGCGCCTTCCAGGGGGAGGGGAGCCTCGCTTCCTGCCCCCGCCTATGTCACAGGTCGGCTCAGCCTTTTTTGATTCCTCCGGGTCCCCTGGGAGCTGTGTCTCCCGTCAGCTCGGCCAGGGAAAGTTGGGAATGCGCTGTCTCCGCCCCTACCTCCCCGCCCCGCCGGCTCCTGTGCCCGGGGCTCTGAGCTCCAGGGGGCTGGTGTCGGCGTTTATTCATTCCGCCTTCTTCCTTTTCTCGGTCGCCTGGTCGCCTCACACCCAGCACTGGCCTGCCCATTTATTTTCCCCTTAAAGAAAGTTTTAGCTCCAAGAAAGGTACACTGAAATTAAATTCCTGGGAAGGAATGTGTTTTAAGGGGAGGGAGGGTTTAGATTTTCCTCTTCTTGGTGGAGTGGAAGGTGAGGGGACTCCCTGTGAGTTTAGAAACAAGACATCCTAGAGGCGATGGAAGATACAAGACCATCTGCCGGGCTCCCCACCCGATCCGCAGGCAGCTTTCATAGCCAGAGGAATGAGCCTTCCGTGGGTAATCCTGCAGCACCTGAGCCACCTGGCCCAGGAGAAAGGACTCACGGAGATGTCCTGGGCCTCTCATTGCTTTTCTTTATAGCCAGCTGTGCCTGAAGGAGGTGAGGGACCCCAGGAATTCTCTCATGGAGGAAGTCATCTCACCATGAGATTGGAGCCCTATTAGATCAGGTGTGAAGCTGGGTCCTCTCTGTTGTTGGGGGTCAGTGCCACTGGTACCTCAGTTTGAATGGAGGGTGCCATCTCTGGGATGGAGAGGTGCTGCTGGGAGAAACCTGGCTTGGGCCTCCAGGAAGCTGGAGCCTGTGCAGGAGGGTTGGGTGTGAAACCCCCACTGTCCACTTTTGCAGCTGGATGGGTCAGGACACAAGGGAAACAGGATGCTGCTACCAACCTGAACACATCCTTGAATAAAAGAGAGACCCTGGACAGCGAGGATGGCCCAGGGATGTTGATATGACTAGGGCTGTGTCCCCAGCTCCTGGGCCAGACCAACTAGGGCCAGAGGTTGGGGTCATGGGCTCCTTTGAGAATCTGGTGAAAGCACTAACTCTTCTCCCTCCAAAATGCATGTGCGTAGGGAAATACTTGCATTCAACACCAGAGGGTTAATATACCCCCTTGGAACTAGGACCTCCATTGAGACCCCTGCCCTAGAGTTTCTGGTCTGCCCTGGGCCATCAGAACATTTCCCTCCTTTTTGGCTGGTCAATGAATAATCCTGGGGTGCAAAGAGTAGACTGCTTCTAAGGTCTTTTCTCATGACCTTCCTATGCCACTCTGGGCTTGTGGCCATGGAGACCTGGAAACTCTGGACAGATCTCAGATCCCTACAGCTAGCTAGAGGATGGGGGCAGTTGAGGTGGCCCTTTTCCAGGGGCTCATTTTGCTATGCTATCTGTGTGGTGGGAAGGCCCTGGGCACTGGGCTAGGCCCACTGGGCTATTGAATTAGAGGTAAATAAAGGGATTTGGGAGGAGGTGGATATTCTGGCGTTTCGGCTGGGTGTTAGCTCCAGGCCCTTTAAGAGCTCCAGCTTGTTCTTGGGGAAATGGAGTTGAGGTGCTTTCGTAGAGAACAGTTAAGTGTGAAAGACGCCTCTTAAGGAGGTCTTGGGGTGGAATTGTCAGTTCCTTAGATTCCTTTGGATTCTTGAAGGCAAGTGGGGGACAGAGGGTGGCTGTCACTATCCCCAGTGTAGCCCAGAGGAGGCCTGGCCTGCCTTTTCTTTCTTACCCATAGCTCACTGGGCCCCGGGCTGCTGCACAGGTGTTTGTGACATCTACACTTGCTAGGAATCTGGTAGAGCTATGGCAGGATCTGCCATTTGTGACTTCTCTACCTTGGGATTGAGAAGTCTTCCTTAGGCTCAAGTCCCCCACAGACAGCTGTAGAAGATTTTTCTTTAATTAGAGAGCACAGTTTTTGGTATATGGCACCACTCACACTGGTATTCTTTCTTTAGAGCTTCCCACATTTGCTCTGGTAATAAACAACAGAGCCAGAAGCATCCTAGAGCCTTCTGCACAGGAAGCTGGCTGTCTGACAGGGATCACCTCTGACTATCCAAGGTGAACTGGAGGAGGTGGTGCTTCGGTTTTGCTGGCTCTTGAACTTACAGGAATTAAGAGCTGTAAAGGGTCTTGGAGGCCGGACGTGGTGGCTCACATCTGTAATTCCAGCACTTTGGGAGGCCGAGGCAGATTTATGACCTGAGGTCAGGAGTTTGAGACTAGCCTGGCCAACATGGTGAAACCCCATCTCTACTAAAAATACAAAAATTTGCTGGGTGTGGTGACACATGCCTGTAATCCCAGCTACTCAGGAGGCTGAGGCAGGAGAATCACTTGAACCCAGGAGGTAGAGGTTGCAGTGAGCTGAGATTGTGCCATTGCATTCCAACCTGGACAACAATAGCAAAACTCTGTCTCCAATAATAATAATAAAAGGCACTGGAGATGCTAAAGGGTTGTGGTCCAGTGGTCCCTGACTTGGGAATTGGAAGTGTCTTGGTGGCATGCAGAAGTCTTTTTACAGTGACTGATGATTCACTTTCTCCAGTGGCCATGACTTCTCAGTCTGCTGTGGCCCTGTCTACCATGGATTGGTGAGTTCAGGACGCTAGCTGTGTTGGCTCACTCACTGCTTCGTTGATCCCTTTGGCTTCCAGGCTCCCAGAATCTCTGATGTGTCAGAGCAGTATCACGGACTCTTGATGATGCAGCTAAATGTCTTATCTTTAAAGCAGGTCATAAATGATAAATGTGGTAACAGTCCTCTTAAACATAAACTCCCTTCTTATAAATTTGACCATTTCATTTCCATTGTGGCAGCACCAAGGGTCTTTGAGGAATTCTAGGTAGTATAAAAATGTCTGTCTGGGTGCAGTGGCTCACACCTATAATCTCAGCACTTTGGGAGGCCGAGGCAGGTGGATCACCTAACGTCAGGAGTTCAAGACCAGCCTGGCCAACATGGTGAAATTCTGTCTCTACTAAAAATACAAAAAATTAGCCTGGCATGATAGTACATACCTGTAATCCCAGCTACTTGGGAGGCTGAGGCAAGAGAATCACCTGAACTTGGGAGGCGGAGGTTGCAGTGAGCTGAGATCGCACCACTGCACTCCAGACTGGGCAACATAGTGAGACTCTGTCTCAAAAAAAAGCTCCAACTCCACTGGTCAATAACTTCCACCCCCAGGAAGCAACTGAGTTATTTTGTGTACATTTTTATCATAACTTTGTGATTTAGGATATAATATCTGCAGTTAGATATCCCCAGGTAGAATTCCAGCTCTCCATCTTACTCTAAGACTTTGTAAGTGCCTGAGTTTCCTGTATTTAGAAAGAGTTGGCCAGGCGCTGTGGCTCACGTCTGTAATCCCAGAACTTTGGGAGGCTGAGGTGGGTGGATCACCTGAGGTGAGGAGTTTGAGACCAATGTGGCCAACATGGTGAAACCCTGTCTCTACTGAAAAAACAAAAATTAGCCAGGCGTGGTGGCAAGTGCCTGTAACCCTAGCTACTCGGGAGGATCAGCATGAGAATCACTTGGACCCAGGAGGCAGAGTTTGCAGTTAGCTGAGATCACGCCACTGCACTCCAGCCTGGGCAACAGAGTGAGACTTTGTCTCAAAAAAAAAAAAAAAAAAAAGTTAAAAGAGATCTCACAAATGTCAGACAAAGAGCAAGTGTTCATTAGATGGAAGCTATTATTACAATTATCATTTCTGCACAGGGTATACAAGTTCTGAGGCTCATTATTAATGAAAATCTTTGGTAAAAACTCTAGAGGCTGAGGACGGTTTTGGATGAGTGGGAGGGGTTCGGGTGAGGCTCTTGAATGATGAGCAGAGGGGACCGCACAATGGAGACGGGGGTGGGGAGACTGAAATGTCATGGGTGACAGCTGAGCATATTTGGGGGCAGAATGACTCAGCATCTGTAGCCCTGCTGTGGAACCAAGTCTTTTCCCTTTTCTTTGGAGAATTTGCCATATAAGCTGGGGGCAGGGGTGAGGACGCAAAACCAGTGAGGAGGGTTGAATGGCATAAAATTAATGCTAACATTGGTCCAGAGGAACAAGGCAGAGTTCCTGGAGGAAGGGAACCTAGTGAGAGGATGGGGGCAGGCCCAGCAGGCAGTCATGAGTGCAAGAAGGCCGGGCATGGTGGCTCACGCCTGTAAGCCCAGCACTTTTGGAGCTGAGGTGGGTAGATCACCTGAGGACAGGAGTTCGAGACCAGCCTGGCCAACATGGTGAAACCCTGTCTCTACTAAAAATACAAAAATTAGTTGGGCGTGGTGGTGGGTGCCTGTAATTCCAGCTACTCAGGAGGCTGAGGTGGGAGAATGGCTTGAACCTGGGAGGCGGAGGTTGTAGTAAGGCGAGATCACGCCATCGCACTCCAGCCTGGGTGGCAAGAGCAAAACTCAAAAGAGAAAAAAAAAAAAAAAAGACTCCGGGCGTGGTGGCTCTCACGCCTGTAA